AGACAGACATACAGACAGACAGACAGACAAACAGACATTCAGCTTTATATATAAGATGAGTTAGAAGCTCAATTGTAATAGGTTGTCCCATAATTCCTTTCATATCAGCGAAAATCACCTAACCTCAATCTTCAACTTAGAGTATAAGCGGCTATTTGATAGAGCCACGCAAACTCTACAAGATGACCTTGGAAAAATCGCAAAAGGTTTGGTACACGTGAAGTTTAAGGCCAAAATTCAAAGATTTTCAAATGTTCGACCGATCTCAGTCCACAAAAATTCAGTGGACCACTTCCGTCAAACATTAATGTTTACATTTGCTGAATTTATCCATTGCTGGAAATCGAAAAAATAAAAGTGCTCCAGTCACGAAAAAACCCAAAAATGTCACTTTTTCTGTTTTTTTGTGCAGAATTCGTTATTTCTCGAGAACTAAGCACATAAAAGGCTAAAAATTCATAGTAATATCCGTAAAGGTTCATACTATAAATCTTTTTATGTAAGAACACCCCAGTACAACTTTTACGAAAACATATTAACAATACAACAACATAACATGCATATTTTTATTTCCTCGATTTCTAGCAATGGAAAAAGTACAGCAATGCATGTATGGATGTCTAATCTGGAAATTATTTACTAGAACAGACAGAAAGCAGGTAGGCTTCTTTGGACAAAATTTGATTTCTCAATTTTTGGGCATATGAATCTTTTTAGATTTCGGATTCAGATTTTGTATGGATCACACTTGATGTGAATGTTTGAACGTCATCTTGTAGAGGGAGCTTTTCTCTATCAATAGGTGCCGATTATCATGAGAGATTTACGAAGAAATGGATTACGGCAGTAAAGAAGCAAATATGAAAAGACTTTGGGACAGCCTGATATAATCAGGGTCAAGCGAACCTCGAGGCGCGGAACGCCACGGGGTCGTCCTGAGGGGTCAGAAAGGGAGAAGGTCGTAATCGAAGTGACAAAGCTCTAATAAGTGATGTTCATTAACAGTCACATGACCCCCTTATGCGGTATACAAGCACACTGGGCTCAAATACCGGGCCACTCAAGTGGAATTTTCATTTTCAAGTGCAATTAACGCAATCTTTGAGGAGAGTTAGTTACCTCCATTTGCACTCAGGGCTACTCCTTGTTAGCACATATCAAAAAGCCCACTTCAAAAAACGCTTAACTTAGGGGATAAGCTGAAATCTCGTGCAGTTCATTTTTCGTTTTCAGTTTATGCAATTAGGATCAATACTCATGCAGATGAGGACGAACTAGGGATAAAATATATATGTTGTTCGTTGCCACACCTTTTTGAGTTGAAAGAAGCCACACACATTTTCGTCACAGAAAAACTTCTGGCAGTTGATTCGCACATGGCGTGATAGCCTGAATCTCGTGAGTTTCAAAAGTGATGTATGTTGACTCTCCTCTTCATTTTTGTGATGATCTCTGGAAACATAAGCACTGAAGATGAAATATAACCAAAAGAGACAAACAAAAACGAGATTTTGGCTGAGCTCCTAAGACAGTTTGGTGTTTTCTGAAATGAGATTTTCAATGTGTGCTAACAAGTATCTTTTTATGGAGTAGAATAAGAGATGGACATCTCACCTTCAAGACAAGGTTAATTACATATATTTTGAAAGAACATTCCAACTGGCTGCCTAGTATCTGGAAATCTTAGAAATTCCAAAACTCGGCCCAAGGATTAGTTGACATGCTGATCAAGGAAATGATACTCATTATGTTTGCTAGGGCCTCTTGCTAAAGGTAGGTGAACAGTAACGAGGAGGCTTACTGTCACACAACCTAGGGAAGGGGGGGGGGGGAGTTTGTTCTGGCGGTAGTGTGCCACACCTCTTGCCCGACCTTGCATATAATATACAGGGTGTCCCAAAAAATGTACTCACTATTTGATTGTAAATTACTCTCTTGTAATGAAGTGTTTCGGGAAGATTTAGGTACCATTTTGTAGAGTGAAATTCAACCTAGATCTAAGGTAGAAAGCGAATCACCGACTGCTCTTCTTTACTGTAGGATTACGGTAGTAACTTTGAAAAGGGTTTTGAGCCATGAAAGGCCATATTTTGCCTCAGAAAGCAAACAAAACAACCTGAAAATTTTCACATTGAGCTAGTTAAAGTTGCTGATTCTAAATGTGAAGTTCACAGCTTATCATAATGCTTCAATAAAAAGTTATTCGAGGCAAGCAGTTCCGGCCGTTTTTCCAATGCTCCCGAATGCAATTATACCGTTTAGAAAGCTTCGCAACCTTGTACATAACTGAGTATTGAACTCAGCATCTATGAAAACCCAATTACGCAATTTTTCACATTTATCTAAAAATTTTTAAAACCGCAGCTTTTTTCACAGTGACACCATATGCTTGAAGTTTCTACCGTAATCCTACACTAATGGAGAGCAATCGGCGATTCGCTCTACATTGCAAAGCTAAGTTGAACCTCACTCTACAAAATGGTACATAAAGCTTCCCGAAATATAATACTTCATTACAAGAGAGTTATTTACAATCAAACAGGAGTTTTTTTTGAGACACCCCGTAGATGTTGAGTCAGGGTAGAATTTCGGTTCCTCCCGGAAATAATGTTTTCCTTGACGTTTTTCTAGTGAGCTTGAGTTCAATACACCAAACAACTTCTATAAGGTGACTCCCCGATTTCCGCACGAATCTTGGGAACATGACTTTCAAGCAGGAACGCTCAAATACATTTTAGAAACAGGTCCTTTCCGCGAAAAAAGTTGTTAGCTACTCAACCAAGTGTGCCATAACGGAAATTTAATTTGTGCAGTTGTTCGACTATTTTAAGGTTTCTAAGAGAAGATCGTAAACGTTAATGATAAACTCTGCCTGTAAGAACCTCAGATACTTCTCGTATATGCATTCATAAACATAATCTATACCTCCGCAGAACGGTCAAACTATAACCTTGTACGTGCTCTTCTCGGGTTTATCTGTTCTAGCTACACAGATAAAATTTAGGGACAAGCCAGCACAAAATTCAAATGAATCAGCTGTTTTCAAAAGATTCGTTCTGCGATGTCTGAGAAGATTAGCTGCATCTATGCACTTTCAATTTAACCTCACTGAATCAGAATGTGCTAAAAAGAATTTTAGGTTCAATTCATGAGGAATTCCATTGACAAAAACACTGAAAATAGAGGAGTTCTGAAAAAAAAAAGATAAACAAGGACCATGTCTATGCGACCATGTTTTTCTATTTTGAGTATGAAATTTGCTTTGCAGAATTTTCGAAGCCAAAACGGTATTCTTCAATAAAGTTATACACATTCCGCGCTGATTTTCTGATAGGCCGTATCCACGTAGAAGGAGGGATTATTGGAGATTAAAAAATCCTTTAGTTTGAAAATAAAAAAAATAAAAAGCAGATTTATATACGACACACGCCCAAACTTTCTGTATTGCATCACTACAGTGCATAGACACTGTCCTACCTTCCTTTGCCTTGGTAAGGACTACGATAAAATGAAGCTGGTGAGCAGTACAAAGCTCAGTTATCTTATCCAGAAGTCAATGTAGCCAAATGGAGGTGAAAAATAAAGACGAATTACAGCAGTTGGCACTCAAACGCAATAGCAGACGATGGTGAGAATCGCAACGAGTGTTTGCGTCAACAAACTGTGCTGAGGAAATGAAATCAGGGCCCGTAGTAATCCACCCCGCATGTTGGCATAAGACATGACGGCGAGCTCGCGAACCTCACGACAGGCTCACGTTCTGGCCGTGAGCTGCGGTTTCCTGATACCATTAGGCAATGTAACATTGATCGCAAAACCATTGCACCTGATGGGATAGAACTCTTCTCTGGCCAACGAGAGTCAGCACGTTAGTCATTGAACTACACGTGTACATTACACTCTATTCCAAAGGATGTAATCAAGCTTGGCAGTCAACTTGCTTGAACATGTTCATTCAATCGCACTGTGGACTGCTAAGCTAGCTACATAGCTAGTTAGCTAGAGGGAAATGAAATCGCGTGTACTCTGCCTGAAGCCTTAGGGACCCGTCATACTTCGCCGAAAAAAGCCCAAAAGAGCCCGAAGAAGCCGAAAAAAGTCCAAAAAAGAAGAAAAAAGCCCTAAAAGCCTAAAAGAGCCAGAAAGAGCCGCAACGCCCCTTGCAAGTTTTGACGCTAAGGCATGTGTTGACTGCAGCCGGTCTTCTAGTTGATTTTCTGTCGTCTGCACATCAAAATAATGTCAAAATCCTATCGAAACTTCGTTTCTGCGTTCCGGCTCTTTCTAGCGCTTTCGGGCTTTTTGGGCTTCTTTGAGCGTTTTTGGACTTTTCTCGGCGAAGTACGACGGATCCCGAAAGAAACCCTACATGCTCTGGAACGATATAATGTGAGGCGTTTCTTACAGATGCGACCCACAATCTTTACGAACCTCCACGTTATATGTTACACAGTTAAAAAATATGGAGAAAATATCGGCACAGAACTATGAGAAATGTTGATTTGAAATCGAAACTGCGTAATAAAAAAGGACCTCATTTTGTTCAAGTAGTCATCTCGCTGGAAAGGAGCCACAATTCGACATCGCTGATTCGGCATCGCTTTTGCGATAACAAAACGAAGTATGACCCCACCTAGACAAGACCTAAAAAATGTGCTGTAGGCTATCCTCAAGGCGGGTCGTTTGCGCAAGAAGCTCGGGTCTGCGCGACCGTCTCGCCTGAAGATTGCCCATCCGTGAACATCTCGATGCATTTTCCCACGCCTACCATATTTCAATCGTCTTTCGGTTTGGAAAATGCCTAGAGGCTACGTCCGCAGATGCGAGACAAGCTCCATGCGAGGGGATGCACCCGCGAGTGCCCAAGCGCTAAGCAAACGGTACTTCATCAGACTAGTCTCAATCATGAATAATATGAGTGAACTCATTTTCAACATAATGTGAAGCAAAAAAGCTAGCACCTCTTCTAGTTCAAAAAACAAACTGATAAAAGAAGATGCTTATCTTCCTTCACATGTGTAGACGGACATCCTGCCCCAGGTCATTGCGTTTCTGTCAAGAACTGAAGAGAACACATTAGCCTTCTCGCTAACAATATAAGCAACTCCAAAGCACTTCCATTCAAAAAAGCTCAGCTCTCCATAAACTGCAATCTTGTGGGATTTGACGCAAATGCTAGTCCGAGACGAAGGCGACTGATGTAAGCGAAACACGCGCGTAGAAGTTCCCACGATGAAAGAGCCCCGACTCGTGCAATTACACCACCTTAGGCATGCGCTTATTGGGGCCTTTCCAGCTTGACAGTACGCTGCAGCGCGCGGGGATTTGGTAGCTCGCAGCATCCCTGTCCTTTCCCTGTTCTGTCCTACTGTCAAGCTGGAAAGGCTCCAAAAAACCACGGCCGCGGTAGTGTAATTGCACTAGTTGGGGCAGTCGTCGACGAACAACCTTTAGAAACATGATCATCGTTGTCTGGGAAATGAGCAATCACTACAAAACTTTAGTATACCTCACGGCTCGCAGTGCCCTCTAAGGTAGAAGGTAAGGGTGATTTACTGGTAATGCCCTTTTGGCGTAATGCTACCGAGCCAATTGAACACAGTTGCTAGCAAACATCACACTATAGCGCTGCCAGATTGCTACAGCCATATCAGCTGGGAGCAAAGCCCAAACGAGCCAATTTTTTTGAGCAATAACAAGCAATAGCAGTAGCAAAACAACAAAAACCAACATTGCAACTATTTATCGAAAAGCATCTAGGAAGGCGATGCTGACAACGACGAATTCATTCAAACGGATAATTGTCTGCTTCAAATGCGGATAACTGTCTGCTTATATCATTGAGATACATCTAACAGGAGCCGCAGAAAAGCCAAGGACCGAGCTTTCCTCGAGTCATCAACCGCACGGACTGGCCGTTATTGCGGAGTACGCGAGCCCGACGTGTATAAATACGGAACTGAGCAATTGAATTCGCTCAAAAGATATTTAATCTCGACATTGCAAAGATACAGACGAAAAAAGCAAGTGAATCTCCCCGCATATGATCTTGTTGTTTCTTCAATGTGCAAACACATGAGAGACTTAAACTCACAGCGTCTGAGTCTAACCCGAAAGTAACGTGGAAGATCCGACAAGGTAACTCAACCTTGCAATCATAAACACTGCGCTTGTTAACACTCCAGCCATGCCTCGCGCGCTCGGCAGGCCAGTTCGTGCGACAACGAATACATGTGTGATTGAACGAAGAATAATGATAAATTTTTGAAGAAAAAGCTGCATATATGTATCAATCGAAACTCGTTAAGAAATAAAAGTGCAGTGTGCACGGCGAGGAACTCCAAACCTCGATTGTTGTCCGGATTTGGACTCCTCCTGGAAACTCCTTCAACCTCTTGCTCGGGAAACATGTGCGGAGAATCTGGAAACAGAGAAAGAAATCAGATTTAGAAAAATTCTTTTTGAAAAATTATTGAGCAGTACTTCCAGGTCTCAAAAGCATGACACTCACATGCAAGAAACCCAATGAGCAACATCTACAAAATTTTCAAAAAGTTTAAGGGAAACGGCATGGCCAGCCATCATTAAGCTGTCTCAATGAGTTCTGCTCGGTCCGCGCGGCCCTCGAACCTACCCCAGGTCTGCAGACTTATCTCCATGCGTTTTAGATGAATGAGCCGATCGCATTTCAAAGCAAGCGCCAGACTCACTCGCTTGATCACTTCTTGATTTGTTATGAGCGAACCGGCCAACCGTAAACGGTAAAAGACTCAGCAAATAAATTCGGCGCTCTCTGAACTTGGGAAGACGCTTAGGATGCCTTCATACCGCGCCGACAACCGCCGCTAGCAGCCCGTAGCAGCCAGTGACAGCCGCTAGCAGCACGCAGCCGCCGCGCTTTCGTCATAGAAGCGCAAAATCTTGAAATTCTTACCACTTTGAGTGCACCCGCCCACGCTTTTCGTCCTCCACGCTTTTTCTTTCCTGTTGTCGCCGTATGCAATTCGATCTCATATAGCAAACTTGTGTCTTGTTGTTATTATCTTGTTGCCTTAGATTGGTTATCTTAATGGTGCTCAGTTTCCCTTTCGCAATTGAACCAAAGTTCGCCAAAGTTTCTTCTAGATGTGATTTTTTCCGACTTTAGATGCGTCCAATTTCTGCAGGTGTGCTATCTGCTTGTTTTCTAAGTATGGCTCTGCTTCAGTCATTTCTTTGGCTATCAGGGCTTATCTTGGATATTCTGTCTGGGAGCCCAACTGCACATAGCGATAGGAACAAACAAGCGCGGAAGATGGAAAGCACGGGCAGAAGCACTCAAAGTTATAGTAAGAACTTGGCGATTTTGCGCCTCTAGACAAAAGCGGCCAGCAGCGACTACGGGCTGCTGGCGGCTGCGACGCGGTATGAAGGCACCCTTAGGCCTCGGACAGAGCTCCTTGAAATGTCATTGCATGCCGATCTTCTTGTATTTCGGTTATGTTTTGCAACACGACTAGTAGTGACTAATTATCACAACCGAAATACAAGAACGGCATGCAATCATATTGTTACAGTTGTCTTGTCGCGACCAGTCGCGACGATGAAATCGCATGAACCCTGCCCGAGGCCCTAGATGAACGTCCGCAGACGCGGCCTAAGCTTCACATAGGACCACGCGAAAATGAGGCGCTGCCGCATAATAGCAAGGTCCTGAGGTAATCTAGACGTGAAATCAAACATGCTCACTTTCTCAAAAGCCGAATGTAAGAAAGAAAAAGCGAACAAAGGCAGTGACGACCAAGTTTGTGATACAATAGAACGCAAAGTCATAGAAAAAGATGCCTACATTCCTCCATTGTGCATAGCGGTTCATCATTCTCGTATGTGCTGAGTTCTTCTACTCGAAACCTAGATAGAAAACTCGATCAAATTTTTGACACATTTTTGCGCGAAAATACTAATCACAACAACCTTGGTCGAACACTGTGCTTTAAAAAGCAAGAAACACAAAAATTCCAATTTTTTCACTAAAATCAAAAACATAAAAGCAAAGCGTACTGATCTGTGATTGCGGAATGAGCTGAACAGTGACCAAGCACTATTTGCCATTAGCTTTCTACTAGCAAGTTGCATGCTAAGCATGCATGTCCTGACATAAAGGAAGAATAAACATTTGTACGTTTACTCCCAGAACAATCAAGTTTGGTACGTATCTTTCAACAGTTTACCTAGGAAGCGGAAGTTCTTCCGATTGGGCTTTTCTTCCTTGGTTGCAAGTGCAGAGGTGGGTAGCGCATCCTTACAAGCGGTTAACGGTAGTTTTAGTTGAAGGTCCAAGAAACAGCCACCATGGGTCAACCTAAAAGCCTTGCATTTCGAGAAGAATTTTACTATAACAAGTACGATCACTCAAGTAACAAGCATATAACTCACAGATACATAGAAGCGATAAAGTTCAGGTATTAGCGCAAAGATGTCTCGCACTTCTCTCCCGAACCTTTGAACATTTCCAACGGATTTCCAATAAAAACAACATTCGACATGTCTGAAAGACTCCACTACAGACCTCCATAGGATTTTTTGGCGCTATTCCGCTATCCGGGCCTGAAAATTTTTCTGGCATAGATTTCGCTCAAACTCGGAGCAGGGGGATTAGCTGACATGCTGATCACGAGTATCACATTTTCTGGGCAGGAAAACGCCTCCCTGCAGGGTTACGGTAGGCATGCGGTAGGGGGTCAAAATCGTGGATTTCGCTCAAAATCGGTGTAGGGGGGTTATTCGGGCCGCTGATTTTGCTGAATATCACATTGGTTTTGTACCGTAGCGTCGTCTTGTCGGGTTAAGATGGGTATACGGTAGGGGGTCAAAATCTCAAAATCCGCTGTAACTTCGCACAGAGGGGTTATTCGATGCTGATTGGAAATGTCACACTTTCTCTGCACGAAAACGTCTCCCTGCATGATTACGGTAGGTTTACGCTAGGGGTCGAAATCACAATTCGACAAATGTATCTTTCCCCTGTGCTTTGCTTAGGCAAAAGCCGCAGCAGGGTGTGTAGCGCGCGGCGGTGGTCGTGTGTGCAAAGCTTCACGATTGTCCGAATCGCCGTACACTCGTTTCAGACAAACCTATTTCTTACACCCACCGCGTAGCTATCGTAACTTGAGAAAATGACGCTACGGTTCAAAACCAGAGTGATATTTGGCATCAGCATGCCAGACAACCCCCTGAGCCAAGTTTCAGCGAAATCTACGATTTTGACCCCTTACCGTATACCTTCCGTAACCCTAAAGGGAGGCGTTTTCCTGCGGAGAAAATGTGATATTCGTGATCAGCATGTCAGATAATCCCCCTGGCCCGAGTTTGAGCGAAATCCATGGCAAAAAAATTCTGGGGCCCGGATAGCGGAATAGCGCCGATTTGCCGAGTATCCTCCTCACGTTTTGTAAGCATGGTTGCTCCCACATACGGTAAACACACAAAAAAACCATCATACACCACCATATACATAGTTAGATACATAGATATGTACTTCTGAAAACATGAACAGTAAGGTGAGTATATCGCGTGGAAGACACAAATGACGAGAAACATTTTGTGTTACTGAGGAAGAAAACAGAGGGTTGTTTTTTGATGAGAACTACGTGATAATGAAATCTACGAAACATAAAGGAGAGAAAATGAATAAAGCATTCATGCTTTAAAAAAAAATTTGAAATGAACGCTTCAAGAGTATTTTCCTTGAAGATAAGCAGCACAACTTCCTGTTGCGCTGTTATTCAACATTTTTAATCTGTTGTACATATGTAAACATGCTTGAATTCAGAACAGAAAAAAGAAAAAACACTGAAAAACCGCATTAAAAACAATTTGCAATATGCATATGTCAAGAACCTGCTGGCATCTCGACGTGGTAAGGGCACGACGAGATGCCGGCAGGTTGCACTCCAAAAAATACACACTATTTTGTATACTCTCTGACCTGCGGGCGAGATGCCGGCAGGTTGAGGGCGAGATGGCATCTCAAATTTCGACAAAAATAGATCGTGAACCTGCCGGCAGGTTCAGAATTTGAGCCCAATAACATGCAAACGAGGACATTTTTTGGATTTTCTTTCAATTCTCATATTATTTTGATAGTAAAACTAAACTATCACACCAAAAAAATAAGCGATTTGTCTGATTTGGGGGTCTCCGTAGCCAGTCTAAAAGTCCTGGCGACCTCAGGTCGACGTCAGGGCGAGCTGACGGCAAGATATGCCGGCAGGTAGGGTGGATTACTACGGGCCCAGATAATGAGAAAGCTACGAGTTTTGGCCCTAAACTCGTCCGATGGAAGAAGGTTGAGCAAGAGCATTCTATTGAAGGATTAAATGATGTTAAAGTCCATCTCCAGTTCGTATTTCAGAAGAGCTACATGTTTACAATAAGAGCATAAACATTTCAATATATATGTGTGCACATTCTTGGAACGCACAAAAGATGTTCGGAAACAATATGAGGAGGTCAAGAAGTGTTTTCCAGTCAGATCGTTTATACGCTTCGAGGTGAGCCAGAATCTAGGATGAGGCATAAGTTCGAAGACATAACACATTTGAAGGGGAAATCAAAGAGTAAAATACGCAATATTTAGAAACGATTTGGCATAAATAATGGATCAATATGGCTAAGGTACTCATGCAGACTCGCCAGAAAAATAAGGAAAATTCTGGAATGTGCAATAACTAATTTTCTGCGAAAAATTCAAGATTTGCCAAAAAGGATGTTTTGAACAATCAACACGTGTGGAGTTATGTGAGGCTCAAAAACGATGTTTGTGACGAAACAAGACTGATGAGGAGTTTATCGCCCTCTTTCGCTACGATCTTTGGCCAGAACGGCGGCCAGCATGAGTTCAACAAGTTGCGCCGAGCCAAGCAACAGATCGCCTGCCGGTTGTTCATAGACTTTCGAAACCAATACGTCTGGGAAAGCATTGCTCTTCAAACATGATTGCACCGTATGATCTTTACTCAGATCCAAAGTGGTTGAAAATTATCAGGTACTTGCTACACCGTGACCTTTGTTACATGCTGTCCAGGTACATCAAACTGATGCTGATTGTGATATCATTCATTCTCTAAAAGATACGAGCACGCCTTTCGTACGTCTAACAACAAGATAAAGGCACCATCCACCCTGAATAGACGATCTTAGGCTTTTGGCAGTATATGATAGTAGGGTCACCTATCAAGTTCAATGCTCAAGTCGCTGCGCAAAATGTCGCTTCGGAAGCGAGAAAATAGCTCCGGAATAATGAAGACGCACGAGGACCTCACGACACCGCCCTCCTTATCCATGCCCGCCCATCCGTGCTCGCCCATCCAACGTTCCGGAAAGCCAGCCTGCGTGTTCTCCGGAACGAGGATTGTCGGGGATTTCGAGAATTCTCGACTTCATATCCTGGATCAGAAACATGAGAAGGCCCTGAAACGACAAAACCTGGAAGTCGAGAATCTGGGAGGATGGTGTTTTTAAAAGTGCATTTTAACGCGTTTTGATAAATCTCCGTTCGGGACTCATGAGAGAATTTGTTCAAACTCGTATTCTTTGGGTGTTCAGACACCCTCGAAGGAGATCATGGGACCGCCTCTGTTATCTATTAGGTTGATGCATAATTCTTGCACCAAAATTTTCAAAATTCTGTTACTTCATCCAGCTGCGATGAAACCTTCTGGTTCGATACACAGTAGAGAGAGCAAATCTTGCGCTTTTATGGTGCTTGAGCCAAAAGTTCTTGAGAGCATATGGCAACGTAGGTTTGGAATTAACGCTTGAAAACGCTCCTATAATGTACATTTTGTCTACAATCGTCAACGATATCCTTTCCTCCAAAAGAGCAAGCCTACAGAGGGTTAGACTATTGAGATTAAAGGCTACTGCATGACGAAGTCGCAGAAGCTGTGATACTTGAGCGGACGCAAAGTCTGCGTGCGCGTATCTTCACCGTTGTAGACCCTGCGCCTCATGCGCCCCACGGCTAACAAAGCCACGTCCGCGTTCGAAGGTGTTGCGCCTTCGTCATGCAGTAGCCTAAACGCCAAATGCCCATTACTCTTGCAGGCGGGCCCAGCTGCTAAAAACATGCTTAGCGTGTGGCGGTAACTGTGTAAAGCATCTATGAAGATTTGATTTTTAGCAGATTCTAAGCTGAGAGATATTCAAGCTAACAAGGGAAGCGTGTTTACTCGAAGTGACCTTTACAGATGAGACCCATATTGCTCTGGAGAGTACTGCACAGTAATTCCAAATCTGCCTTCATTATTTGCCAAGTGCCTCTGGACACCGAATTATGGGCTTTTTTCGGGTCAAAAAACTGAACGCAAATGTGGGAAATCACATTTGCTCAAATGATCCGGTGTCGAGCATCAGAGCAGTTCATGCAATGGATACATTTTCTCTAATAAGCTAATATTGCTTTATCTGAGCGCTGGAAAGATTGTGACAATCGATCTTACCTAAATTCTGCATTCATTTTTTGTTCCAAAAAGCAGCCATAACTCGGCGTCCAGAGGCGCTTGGCAGACAATGAAGGCAGGTTTGGAGCACTTGCATCGTGCAAAGCTCCTCAAAGTGCTGTGAGTTTCATTTGAAAACGCCACCTTGACTAAACACGCTCTTGTAAGATAACAGGTGCTGTGGGCTTTTTAAGTTGTGCAATTGAGGAAAAAAATCTAGGATCCGTAATTGTAGTACCACGAAACCACCAGTTGAGAATTTTTCCGTTTTGTAGTATAAGTAACGAACTCACGCAAACCTGTGTTTCTGGTTAGCACAGCTTATCGCAAGAATGGGTTCCTCAAAAAGATGGCCGTTCGTCCAGCGATGAATTCGGGTTCCATTATAGTCCTAGTATCCTGCTAGAATGGTGAAAATGTGTTTAATATATGATTTGTTGATTGGTAATTCATTTTATCAAAATTGTTCAAATTTGAAGTCATGAGGTGATACTTTGCGTCTTCCACGCTTGTCTAAGCATGGTTCATGTGATTAAAGGCATCCTCCAACCAAATTGAAGATTCCGAGTTTTTGTTGTTATATAATAACGGGGCACTCAATTGGGTATGACCCGTCACTGCAAAAGATGAATTCCGAAGGGAGGAAACTTCATAAGGTAAAAGCGACCTAGGCTGTGTGGTCTTAAAATACAAGCTCGGAAGCTGGCTTTGGAATTGAAAAATCTGACACAATGGAGGACGACTTATGAACTTAAATACATTGACCCGCTTTCGAGCTCATATTTTTCGGACCAGTTGATAGGCTAAGCCATCTGTGCCTTTTCTATCTGCTGAAGCTTCTTTCTTGCTTCGGAATCTACCTTTGGCAGTGAAACTTAGGTGATCTCCTAATTAGGGGCCCGCTATTATGCAACGTCAATATGTCACCACCCTCAGCTTGAGTGAACGGTGCCTTCATATGAGGGAAGGATAAACACAGATCTAGTAGGGAAGCCAGAGATTTAAACTCTCAGAATTGAATTAAATCTATCTCTCAACCCAACTATCTTCATAACGGAATCATAGTGTAAGCTAGGTTCTATACACGATGCTAACATATGCCGAGTTTTTATCATGATATATATAGATGTGACAGAGAAGGCAGCAGTATAGGAGGCGGTGTTCTTGCCCTCATACAAGTGGGCTAAAGCATCACTTAGTCTTCAGCAATAACTTTTCTAAATATTGCCAAGTTCTATGCTTTTGTGTTATTGAAGCAACCAGCTACCCCTACTTTGTTTTGGTCTATCAAGGTCCCTCTCGTTACAGTGCTTCCTTTGCAAATGCAATAGCTTATTTCGCTGAAATTGTTGACAGAAATCAGAACTGCATTTTTCTGGGAGATTTTGACTTGGCGGTTGGTCATGGCGTGAGGATGGCAGGATGGCGCACGCATAACTGGTTTCCCTCCCTTCCGCAGATCTACTTCGAGTTGTGGAATACGGTCTGCCAACTAGTAAAGGCTCCACTCGAAACCCTCGACCGCTTGATCATGTGTTTTCCAGTGATAGTAACTTGATCAAAAACTTTGATATATGCGATTGCTTCTCTACATCGGACCACTGCTCTATTACATTCAAGCTGCGCAAGCATCGTAGAATAATCTCGCCTGAGAAGTATGTGCCTCATTTTATGCATGCTGATTATGCTGCTATAAACATGAGCATATTAGAAGTGGATTGGCTAAGTTTACTTGCAGCGCATTATCGCCAGATCGTTGTTACGAATGCTTTCTTCAAGTGTGCTGTAATGCTATGTACAACTTTGTCCCTCTGCGTATAGTTTGCCGTGACCGCATGCTTTTTTATCCCAAAGGATACTCAAGCTTGAGGCCAAGTTTTTTCAAGCTTTACCATGAAGCAGAATTGGTTACAAAAATATTAAAAGTTCTGAAAAAACTCAGACGTGAGTAGTACCGCTGCAGACTCATAGAATATAGCAAAATTGTCGATTAGCCGAAATGCACGAGCGTTCTTTTGCTTGAAGGTGTCAAACAG